TTGGATTACAGCAACACAGAGAATTTGCATCTAATCATGGGAAATGACAGTAAAAGCATCTTCAGCTATACAAAATAAATATCTCACATTTAATAAAGTAACAAATAAGAATTAAAGTACTGAAACCTAAAGCTCTGTTAAAAAAAAAAATCTGGAACACAGACTTCTGTCACTGTTTTTACATTTTTTAAACTACCATCTCTTTTTAAAATAAATGTTTTCTCTCTTTTTTAAAATTATTTCAACTCATCAGGACTAGCAGTTGGAGAGCATGCACATTTGATCATATATCAATTTAATCAATAATGTGGATTATCAAAGGCTGTGAAACTACCACACAAAAATACACTGTATATATGATATTATATCCTACATGTGGTAAAGTTTATGCTAAATAATACAATGTCATAATGTTGCCTCTGAGTCACTGTTAAAGCCATGGTCTATGTTGTGAAGCTGAGAACAGTGACTAATACATTTATTTTAATTTTTTTTTTTTAAATGAAATTGATTCAGGAACAGAAAGTGACCATTTTGCATGAAATGCAAAAAATAGCCACAAAGCAGCCACAATGTGTCCAATTGCACTATTTGAAATTTAATATTTAATTTTGGGCTCTGTTATTCATGCAGTGTGTTAGCCACTACCGCATTTTGGTGCACAGTAAGCTCTTTTAACCGTATCACATGTAAATGTACAGTCTAGTGCAGACTTTCTTCTCGTCTCAGAAAGGCCCACATACTGGGACAATCCCAGTCCTAATTAGGACGCATAAGATCTCTCTTTTAGTGCTTGTGTTTGAACATAAAGCCATTAACACGAAGAAGAGCTGGAAACCAGTCCAAAGACATTTCAAACCACCTGCCACAGCAATTCTTAGATTCTTATTAGAAACAGGTCCAGGTAGAAATTGGGCTACAAGACTACAATACTGATATGTCTACCATGTTACATGATGAAGATCAGGCTCTGGTAGCTTTGCTGGGGTCAGCCAACACAAACAGCTTTGTATTAGCATTTTGTCTGTGCAGATGCTTGACAAGAGCCATACAATAAAGTTGTTTCTTTTCACACAGTTTGCACTTTACTATCATGCTCTTGTTCTCTTGTGCAATAAAAAGAAAAAGTAATGTCCGCATCTTTACTCCTTTGTGGACATCACATTTTGGGTTGTCTAGACCAAAAGACTAAATTTTGCTCTACAACGGCCTGATATCCACCTATGAGGACTTGTACTGCCACTGTTCTATCAAAATTTAAAACGAATGTCCGCATGTGGATCAAATTTTTCGCAGATAAATAAATATTATAATTGGTAATTCTTTGCTTTTTCATTGATCAGATCCAAATCAGCCCAAATAGCAAAGAGAAATTAAAAATGCATGCCATGTAAGATTTCGGGAGGTTAAAGCTGCAGATTTTGCCGCTATGTTATTCCTCTGCATACAAACTGAAATCAGCTGATAGCAGGGCGGGTGTGCAAGAATAAAAAAGCATGTTTTTTAATTGTTTTTCATCACTATAGGAGTAATGGAAGATGCAGGTTTTGGGAACAGAAAGTAAAAATTCTGCACTGTGCGCGTAAAATAGCCACAGGGAAAAAAAACATATGTCTAATTGAACCACTTGGAACAGATTTTTAATTCTGAGGTTTTGTACTTGTGCAATGTGTTATACTATATAGTAGTGATGTGCGGATCGATCCTGAAATATCGATTCCTCCGATACCAATCATTTATGTTCTAGAATCGATTCTCACATTAAAATATCAATATTTTAGTAATTTAGGGTAAATTTGTATATTATCATTAACAGGAACACAGTGGAAAGAAACTATATCATTCGGATTGCCTACATTCCAAGGAACTACTTCCTCTTCAGCCTTTCATAGTCATGTGCGAAATACGGCTGTATAAATGTCTTGCGGCCCCTTGGCGTGCGCACTCACAACACTGGCTGATCGTAATTGGAGTCATGTGCGGACGTATTTTACATCAACAAACAGCCGAGACGTGGTTTGCGATACATGTGTCAAAAAAGGGAACTTTTTTGCGACCCAGAAAGAGAAATAATATTAAAACTAATTATCTGGAAACTGGAATTGGCTGGGCCCTATGAATTCTGTGATATGGTTTTTTAATTTTGTTGTCTGTTTGGTGGAAAATCGGGAGAAATTCGGGAGAATGGTGGCTCCGGGAGATTTTCGGGAGGGGCACTGAAATTC